ATATGTCATTGAACATACAAAATATGTCATTGAATATGTCATTAAGCATTTGAGATGAATATCATGGGAGAAGAGTAGACATCCACCATAATGTGATATTTATCGTAACAAAAGAGAAGTTGTTGTAGAATCATCATTTTAATTTTATGGGCCTAGCGTAAAGCATCTAGTGCCAGGTGGTAGAAGCTTTAAATTAACGGGTACCAATAAAGTTGCTTCCTTTAACATAGTTACATAAATACCCTATGGGCCCAGGTTACAAAATACAAAGTCAGCATATAATAATTGGTATTTTAACTAGATTCTGGTTTTTTTGTCATTAGGACACAAGCAGCCATGTTGACCCGAAGCTCCTTAAACTGTGCCTTATTAATAGTAGGAATTTCGTTAGATGTATTATTTTCAATCCATTCAAAAAAATTAATCTCTTAATATTAAAATCCTTAAAAGTAATTTTTACAAACATATGATTATGTGATATTATTATCTTAAATTAAATTTATACTATCTAGATGGGATTTTTTTTACTTTTAAGCAAATACATAATTTTAACCAGTGATTGTTATTTGACAAAAATACTCACTAAATTTTCTTCTCTTAACCAACAAGTCCAACAAATAGTGTTGTGATCTTGAGGCTTTAATTTGTGTATAATGTTCAACTTTTACATAACATGGCTCAAATTCACTCTCATATTCTGCATCTTTAAAAAAAATAAAAAAAAATGGAACAGAATGTAAGTGATGAAAAAGTCTTAGGTACTATAGAGTTTCAGAAACTAAATACCAAATCGATGCATAGTACTAATATTCAACACTACATTTAGGCCATCTACCAATGACATTGGTTCAGGAGAGATTAAGGGGGTTGGCCAGAACTACTCTGTGAAATTTTATATAGATCGTGTTTGAGAAAGCTGAATTTTGAAATTTACATCACAATTAACGATAATCACTTGCAGAAAAATTAAAAGGTGCATCTGCAGCTATCCGGGTTGAAATCTACAAAAATCTTGAAGATACAAATCAAAGCAACAGAAACTCTTCATTTCCATAGTTCTTCCATAGGAATCCCACGGTCTTGAGCAACTTCACTAAATTGCCTCATTTGCTGAACAGCTACAACAGTGGCTCTTGCATTGTTGAGGGCATTGTTACTCCCAAGTTGCTTACCCAAGGCATTCTCAACGCCAGCCATTTCGAGAACAATCCGCACAGCACCACCAGCAATAACTCCGGTACCAGGGGCTGCTGGTCTAAGCATCACCCTTGCTGCTCCAAAGTCTCCCTCGGATCTGCAATTAAGTTGTNAGATCTGCAATTAAGTTGGTCAGCAATGTTAGATCCCTATGTTATAAACAATAACAAGATGATTCTTTCTCTTTTCGGATAACGGTGGTGTCCAAGCCAACTTGCTTGGATCTCAACGGTTACATGCTACCTCGAACTAATACATGGATTGGGTAACTCTACCAACGAAGATTTATGCAAATAGAAAGAAATCATCTAGCGTTTTTTGTCTCTTTGTCTCTGTTGGAATTTGAACCTCGTTCTTCCATGGTTTCCCCCACTTCTTTGACCGCTAAATCACACTCGGGTGCCCATCGCGAGATAATTCTTTCACGAGATGAGCTGCATAATTCTATTAACGTTTTCGGAACTACATACATGTCAAGGTAAATACTACCATAAGATTTTCCTCAAGGCAAGATGTGGTGGAACCTTTAGACAAATCAGTTTTTTCTCATTAGGATGACAATCAATAAAAGAGGAACATGAAATAAAAGACTTAATTATCTATCGTATTCAATCCTCTCAAGGCCTACCATTTCATTCCTCCAGATTTAGCGACAGATGTGCTGGGATAATCACGACAAGAAACCACAGCTCTACAGTCAGTGCACATCCTAGCATATATAGCCAGTCTTCAAAAGTATTAAACATAGCAATACTGCTAACTGCTAAGTCATTAACATGTTTCTTAATTCCTCAGGAAAAAAAGAAGTTCCAAAAACAAACACCACCCAAACAAAAGGAAAAAAAATGAAAGAAAGAAACTCCCCAGCCCCCTCCACTCCAACAAAGAAACTGATAAATGACAGTAACAGCTAATGGTGCGACCAAGGATTAAAAGTGAGGACAGATCAGATTAATCTCTTTCAGATGCATAGGCTAGAATCACTGATGACCAATTTATATACTTATCAGACTGATCGGCGAGCTAGCTAAAATCTAGAGAATCTCACACATTTCAGACACATGAAATATTGGGGTACATGTAGATTTCTTGTTATCTATTAAATCAACGGAAAAGGGTTTGATCTGTCCCTCTACTATGATAAATTGTTTAAATTTGTCCCCCGTTATACTATTGGACCATAAAACTCTCTGCCGTCTTACTTTCGAACACATATACCCCTTCTTTGACGGAGGGGACACGTTGCACCAATCCGTGCCTCTTGGTATATCTGGTCTAAAATTAAACTTGACCCGCCCCATTACCCAAGACCCATAACCCATAACCCATAACCTAACCCTCTTCTTCTTCCACCTTATCCCCCTCCATTCCTTTCTTCTTCCACAACCACCTCCCGCTACACTCGCCGTCACTGCCAAATAAGATTGGAAGTATAGTGGAGATCTGAGACACCCCATATGTTCTACTCAGTTGGATCTTGAAATGCCGAAGAAGAGATTGCTGCAATTCTGAAGCAATTTTATTGTCATTTTCACAAATAGGAAGTCCAAAATTTAAGGAACAGGCTTACATCTTATGGGAATTTCTGAATTAAGTTTAATCTTTCATTAGGACCTAGACTGAGTTTAGAAAAAACCGTTGCTAATTTTGAAGATCAATGACCAAATGTCATTGTTGTGTTAATTATTTTTGCTTGTGGTAACCAGAAATTGGCAACATTTACCATCATCTTCAAAATGGTGATGAAAATGATTTTTGGTGATATATGTAAGAGTGAGTTGCAAAGGGGTTTATTAATAATGGTAAAATAGAGAGGAAAGAATTGTGTTCAAGGTAATTTCCAAATGGAGGTGCTGTAATTACCCAGGAACAGAACCAATTGGCTAATGTTGCTACACTTCCAGCTAAATTTTTGACCTCGTGTATATTTCTCCAGATCTGTGTATAAATATGTGTGTAGGTATAGAGAAAGGGGAAGAGAAAGTGCGAGGTGACAAATCTGAAGATTCTCCATCGTTTCCGGCGAGTTCACCGGTGGAAATTCCGGCCATGGTTATAATAGTGAGAAGGAAAAGAGGAGAGAGAGAGATTAGAGAAGCAATGTGGGTGGACTTTGGGCCGGGCAATGTTTTTTTTGAAGTGAACCGGGTTAAAAGAAATGAGATGAGTCGATTTAATATGTGCCCAGATGTAAAAAGGGCACAGATTGGTGCCACGTGTCCCCTCCGTCAAATAAGGGGTATATGTGTTCGAATAGTAAGACGGCAGGGAGTTTTATGGTCCAATAGTATAACGGGGGACAAATTTAAACAATTTATCATAGTAAAGGGACAGATCAGACCCTTTTCCGTTAAATCAACTAAAAGAAATAGACACAAAAACACAAATTTGTGCATATCTCAATTTGACATATATAGTCAATAAAATAAGAGGTTCCTTACGACAAAAATAAACTAGATTATGTTCAGATGCTTAAATAGAACATATTAAGTATGCCATTTTACAAGCCACGATGTTGCCCGGTGAAAATCAGGAAAGACCAGGGTTCAAAATGCTAGATACCAAATTTAGTTGTGGCCCTTGACCTTAAACATAACCAATAACTGGAATTATGCCTACGTTGAATTACTTTAGGAGCTTAATAGCATCACTCGTAATCAAATATCAGATCATCATGTCATGTGTACCATAACTGTATTACATCCGCACGCTTTACCTTTCGTGCTAAAATTCTCAGTAATCAAGTATATCCATGACAAGCACCACCTACTACTGATCTAGAAAATCCTTCATAATTCCAGTATCAATCTTTACTTCCAATTCTTCTTCATACCTCTCGTCGCTGAACTTGCACTCCAAGTATTCAGTTTTCAACCTACTCAACTTGACACCTTTGGACTCCAGCGTCTGTCGCCACACTTCCAACCTAGCATTAACACCCCCTCGCATCTCGTCAATCAGTGTTGTCAAAGGCACACTTAAACCCTGAAGCGAGGCTCAAAACATGTTGAGCGCTTCGCCTCGCTTTACGGGTGCTTCAGTGTCGCATCAAGGCTTTAAGGCATACTTTTCCTTGCCAATGAATGTAATCCTAAAAAGGCAACACTAAATAATTGATATTTCACTTTATCGTAATTTTCTTGTTATTTCTTATTCATGCTTATAATTATTGGTCTTAAACTACATATGCATATTTTTACTTTTTCTCCAGTTGCGCCTTTTTTCATTAAAGCCCAAGCTTTATTTGCGCTTTGGGCTTAAAGCCCCAACGGGCCTTAGAGCTTTTTTGCGCTTTTCGCCTTTGATAACACTGTCGTCAATCAGTACTATGACATCAGCAAATAACATACACCATAGCACCCTCCCTTGTATGTGTCGCGTCAGCACATCCAACATCAGGGCAAACAAAAACGGGCTAAGGGCAGATCCCTGATGCAACCCCATCTCCACAGCGCAATGACCAATCTATGCAAAAATCATTTCTCATATATTACTGCAGATCCAGCACCGAGAAATCTATTGCCTCCAGCTATGAAACTCAATATAATGTCCCCTCCCTGATCCCTCTACCCCTCTATCCTTCTCCACCTAAATACCAGACATGGTTCACTTTTGCATTACAAATACCAGACTTGATTACCAGCACAATTCGGATTCGTCCTGCACTATACTACCTAAGCCCTGAGGCTGGAAGCAGAACTATTAGCAACAATTTGACCCTCAGAAGGAACTCAAATGGCAAGGGAAGCAGATAAGAAGCTGATACGCCACACCCCCAACCTTATAAGGGTGAGAAGTTGCTTATATTCTATCATAGCAAAGTAGGACTTCAGTAGCTCTCTCTGCCCTTGTTGAATTGCAGAAATGCATAAAATAGACCTCAAATATTCTTTTAAAGACAGTGGGGCTTAGGTATGCAATTCCTGCACCGCAACTAATTCATTGGCACCCGCTACAGCCCACAAACACAAGTTCCAGTAATTATGCCTACGAAGGCTAGAGAAGATGGGCTCACGCTGTGTTATAAATGGTATGCGGACATGAGATCTCTATGTTATTAGTCTATGTCTCAACCATCCAATCATCATCTTGGAGAACCCAAACGTCATGATTTTATCCATAGGAAGTTTCGGAGAACCCAGTCCCACTATTGCTTCAAAAATAACCATTAACCATCTCAACCAATATCCTCAAGGTGCAGAACTAAAACACATTTTGTTTAGGTTAACAATTAAGTATTACTTAGGGGAAGAAAAAAAAGACAATCAAAATCGAACTCACTCCTATTGTATAAAACCCTCCCGCCAATACCACTAGACTATAAGATTTGGTGGTAAAATGCATTGAATAGACACTTGTGGAATTTCTGTTTCTACAGTAATAACCCATAGCTACAAACCCAAAAATTGCACCATCTAGCTCAATTTAGGATTGGAATTCCAAGCCTCCAAACTAGCTGAAAACTACAGAAGATTCTATATTTATGTCAAAACCCAACATTTACTAGTGAAAGAACATACATATTTAAAAGTTAGCAAAATTTACCTGTGGGGGAAAGTCAAGTACTTAGTCATAGGGACAGTAATGATATTCCTCCTAGCATTAACAGCGGACTTTTGGACAGCAGCAATCACCTCTTTAGCCTTACCAACTCCAACACCCACTTGCCCTTTCTTATCACCCACAACCACAATTGCTCTAAAATGCAATTGCTTCCCACCTTTAACAACCTTAGTAACTCTCCTCACTTGCACCACTCTCTCATCAAACCCATCTTTGGCCTTCTCTTTCTTAGTTTTCCCAAACCCAGTTGTCTTTTTCACCTTAGAGTCCATTGTATAAATGTCATTCCCAAGGAAAGTCTCTCCACTGTAAGCTGGCCCATAAAGCTCTTCATAAGCTTTTGCAATGTCGTCTTCGGATTCTAAGGGGCCATCGTCGAAAGAGGGTGGTTCTATGAAGTCTTCAGGGCGTTCTGGAGGATCAAAAGTGGAAATTTCTTCTGGGTCTGTGTTGTCAAAGAAAGTGGTTTCGACGGTTGTGGAATTGGCTGTTATGGGCTTGAGTTTTGATAGGTGGATGGGTTTAGGGAGGAAGAATGATTGGGATTGAAAGGGTGAAAAACGAGAAGGGGTTGTGTGTAGAGAGAGGGAAGAGAAGGTGGAGAGCGAAGCAGATGCTGCTGCCATTGTCTCTTGTCTTGTGTCAATGGCGAAGTACAGTGGAAGAAATGTAATCTTCTTATCCTTTAACTTTCAAGTGGTAAGATGGGCTGAGTTTAGGACTAGTTGACTACGATTTGGGCCTAACTTTGGGCCTCTTGTAATGAGTGTATGTAGTCTTAGAAGAAAGAAGATTTAACCCAAATAGTCATCCACCTAATCTCTTAAACTTAAAATAGCCGGCGGATGTATAATATATATGTATAATCTATATATACCGGCTAGAAAAAGTAATCATTAAATCTGACCCGCTATTTCTGTAACAATCCCTAGAAGAAATGACACCAGGTACTCACTCTAAAAGGCTGCTATTTAGTAAGGAAATTTTACCTCTTATATCAAAGGTATACACCCTATTTATTATAAATCAAAATTATTTTAAAATATTATTTTCTATAGGTACCTTTTATATTTTATAGAAAAATAGGTATTTATGGATATACTACCATTGAGGCATGAAATACGATATTTATATTTTTACTCTCTCTTTCTTTCAATTAACAAAAGATTCTCTCTCAATTTTCTTCTTCTTTCTCTCTCTCTCGTCGAGCAACTAGTATTGATGGCCGACGAGAAAGAAAAATCTCTCTCTTTTCGAGTAACTCAAGATACACGCCCTAGTATTGATGGCCGACGAGACATTAGAATAGAGTAGAAGGCAGCCAAGAAACAGAAAAGAGTGAATTTTTCAAACGGAAAGGAACAATGTGATGAATTCTTATCATAAATTTGTTGTACGGATTCGACGAACTTTCTTCTCTTCTTGGCCGGAAAACGCCATCTTCGACGAACTTTCTTCTCTTCTTTGCTATTTAGTCACATACAATGATACACATACACTGTATTATATACAAATTCACTCGAAAAAATTGTATTTTTACATAAATACATTTATTTTGCATGTATTTATGTATTTCGAATATCTATATTTTTTTAATACAGCTGAATACATGATATAAACATTGAAATACACTGAATACAAACATTAAAATAGAACAGAATATAAACAGTGAATACATTTAATTTTAAAATATAGTGAAATACGGTAAAATATACTGAATACAAATAGAAATATAGTGAATACAACCAATAAAATATACTGAATACGGTAGTAATAACATATGTTAGGAATAACTAAAATACTGTCAATACAATACATTTGAATACACTGAATATAAAATAGAGAATAGAGTAAATACAAACATTGAATCTAATGAATGCAACATCAAAAAAAAAAAAAAATTTGAAACACACTAAATACAAAAGTTAAATACAACAGTTATACAACTGAAAAATTATTCTAATTAATTAGGTTGATAATGAGGCATGTTAGAATTGATTTTATTTAGTTATATTAGGAGTGTATCACACTAATTGATATTATTTCTGTTATTAGACAGCTGGACATACCTATTTTTAAGGTGATTGTCGTTACTGTATTTATGAATACATGGCGCGAATACATGGGAATACATGCGCGTACAGCTGGACTGCCCTGATTTTAGGCGCTTTTTGTTGTTGTATTCATTAATACAGCAGCGCAAATACAACGAATACACTACCATAACAACTTAATAGTAGTTATTGGAAATAATCATGTATATCGTAACTATAGGAAGTAAATACCCACTAAACAGTAGTGATTTCTGAAAATTTCTCAAATTAGTCAATGCGTCCCGAATTTCAGTTTTTCAGTTAAATTTTCAGAACAAAAATGTTCTAAATTGTCCTGAAATTAAGATTTTTAGTTTAAAATTTCAGGACAAAATAAGTATTGGTTAATTCCTAAATAGTATCCCTGAGAATGGCATTATGTGCACTTGCCCCTATAATCTTATGCTCATCTTTCAAGTGAGTTTCTGATTTTGGATAAAAATGAAAGATGGAGTTGACAGTGACTAATTTAGAGCCCGTTTGGACATAAGAAATTTTTTACTTTTTTTCGAAAAAATTTCACTTTTTTTCGACATCAGCGTTTGGTCATAAATATTTCAATTTTCACTTGAAGATGCATTTTGGAATTTTTCGAAAATTTGAAAAACTCAAAAAAGCTGTTTTTTAAAATTTGCACTCAGATCACTCAAAAAATTTCAAAAATAACCCAAAATTATATCCATGTCCAAACACAACTCTAATTTTCAAATACCATTTTCACTTGAATTTTTTTTTTTTACTTTTTTTGGAATTTTACAATTCTTATGTCCAAACGCCCACTTAGACTCTCGAAAAGTTTGGGTAATTTTTGGTGAAAATTACACCGGGTAGCCATTTAAGCATGTTTTTTTAAATATATCCACAGTTTACAATGTATTTAAAGATTAGCCAATTTTGCTCAAATCAGGACACGACTTCCTAGAATTTAAACCTCAAAATTCAAACTTCAGGACATCGTGTCCTAAAGTTAAAATTTTTTGTCCTGAAGTTCAAATCTTATGTCCTGAATTTTAAATTAGTAGTTCAGAAATTCAGGATACTTACATGTTTTTCTGAAAAATATTTTCATGGAAAATGAGTGGTTTTATCACTTATTCTCCCCTGTTTGGTTGATGAGTGAAAAAAAACATTTCAGAAAATATTTTCTAACGTTTGGTTAGAGAGTATAAAATATTTTAAGGACTACACTCCTCAACCCACCTTCCCCAAAATTCTCATATTTCATGTACTCCTTCCCCTTCTCTCCCCCCTCCCCTCCAAACTCTATTTTCTTCAAGAATTTAATTATTCTTTTCAAATTCCACACAAACCCAAAATAACTAATGTGCTACTTAACTTTTCACACAAGAACAAGAACAATGTTGAAATTTAAGCTCGATAACTAAAAAGAATCTACTTTTTTTTTGTTGAAAAAGATAATATCCTTTCTACAACATGAAAATGTTATTCATTTTGTTGAATGAAGGAAAATAATTTTTCTACACCATGAAAAAATACTAGTCAGTTTGTTGAAATGAAAGAAAATATTTTTTCTATATCATAAAAAAAAAATATTCGTTTTGTTAAAATGAAAGAAAATACTTTTTCTATATCATGAAAAGAAAGTACTCGTTTTGTTAAAATGAAAGAAAATATTTTTTCTACATCAGAAAAAGAAAATACTTAGTTTTTTGAAATGAAAGAAAATACTTTTCTACATCATGAACAGAAAGTACTCGTTTTGTTGAAATGAAAGAAAATAATTTTCTACATTATGAAAGAAAGTACTCGTTTTGTTGGGGAAAAAAATACTTTTTCTTATTCAGGGATTGAAAATACTTGGTTTGTTGAAATTATTTTTTTCACATCATAAAAATAAGTATTCGGCTTGTTGAAATGAAAGAAATATTTTTTCTAAATCACGAAAAGAAAGTACTCGTTTTGTTAAAATAAATAAATAAAAAAATTTCTACATCATGAAAAAAAAATACTTATTTTGTTGAAATGAAAGAAAATACTTTTTCTACATCATGAAAAGAAAGTACTCATTTTGTTGAAATAAAAAAATAATTTTCTACATCATAAAAAGAAAGTACTCATTTTATTGGAAAAAAATACCTTTTCTATTTCAGAAAAAGAAAATTCTTAGTTTGTTGAAATGAAATAAAATATTATTTTCACATCATAAAAAAAGTAGTCGGTTTGTTGAAATGAAAGGAAATATTTTTTCCACCTTATGAAAAAAAGTACTCATTTTATTGAAATAAAAGAAAATACTTTTTCTACATCATGAAAAGAATATATACTCATTTTGTTGAAATAAGAAAAAAAGTACTCTATTGACAACATGAAAAGAAAGTACTCTTAATAATATTTCTATTTATGGTGGTTCATGGGCGAGGTTGGGGTGGATGGGGTGGGTGGGGTGAGTTGGTGGGGATGTGAAATAGGGGTAGAGAAGGCTGAAAAAGAATTTTGGAAAATATTTTCTCTTCTTTTGATAGAGAAAATATTTTTCTCCAATTGGAGGAAAATGATGTCATGAGGAAAATATTTTTCAAAATATTTAAGTCAACCAAACATAGGAAAATAATTTATAATAACTTACTCACATCCCGTGTTTACATTAAATTATAATAATTTATTGTGAAAAAGTTGCACACTTGGCTGCTCGACCAAAAATATTTATTACTACTAGCCAGTATACATGAATCATACGCTAATTTTACATATATTATACATCCAGTCAACTACTTTTTTAGGTGGGTGGCTATATTATAGCTAAGTCATCAATTGAGGTAAGAAGACGATAAATAAAAATGTGTCATGTATTCATTGAATTGGTCTAAATATCAGGTGCAGTTAAATTTTTAACGCCTGATTCTTATGGACTAACATCAAAGGTACGAAATCCAAATCCATACTTGTTGTCTGAAAGGCTTCCGACCATCTAGCTTGAACTTAACTAAGTGAAACTCATGTTCGAATCAATGAAATGGATGAATGCAGCACTAAACTTGAGTCCTTTTTCGAAAAGGAATTGTGAGCGTTGAGAGAGTTCCTACAAGATTTCTGAACTATTTTCTTTGTTCAAAACTTCAATTTTAATATACAAAATCTTAGTTCTCTCTATATATAAGAAGAGAACTTCAACAAAAAGAGAAATGTCCGCACTAATTATACGTGAAAGACAAGAAAGTTGAAATGTAACATCACTCCGACACAATAATAATTGCAAATCATTTTTGCTTTATGTTGAGTTCTTGGCTCTTTGGTGTGTTATTCAACTTATAAAACATGCAAAAGAGTGTATGCAGCTCTAGTTTTACTATGATTGATGTAATTTCCAGCATTTTATGGATAGGATAAGTTTAAATCGAGGCATCCAAAGTGAATAGCATTGCATTGAAAATACCTTTCTAATATAGTATAAAAAGATCTTTGGAAGTATTGCCATTGTATAACAATTAATGACAAATAAACTGATTCCTATAAATAAGGAATCATCTCTTTATGATTATGTAAATGGCCAAGGTATCATATAAAAATCCTCCAATAAGAAGAGAAAGAAACAAGTTTGATGGCTGTATCTTGATCCACGAAGAAACAAGCATCACTGCCATATCTTGATATACTGGTCGTGACTCACTGAGGCTATGGTTCCTGTCGGAGGTGAATCTGCAAATGAAGAAATTATACCACCATGTGCTTGGTGTGGCCAAGTTCTGTGGCTCTGGTACATTGGATTCCACAGCTCCAGTAACTGCAAAAACACTTTGACATGTTACTTTCCTTCATGAAATATCAAAAGAATCTAGGATCATCTAAAAAGTTATCTCTTTGAGATGGTTACATGTGATTCATGTGAATAATCCTAGGTTACATTTGTTGTTGTGCAACTATATTGAGACAATAATCAAGCCAAGTCTACAAAGAACTTATCTATGAGCTCAAAGCTTCATCTGTTAAGCATACCTCATGAGAACCAATCGCCAAGATTTGAGCGCGGTCAGGGTGGAAAGTGCATGACTGGAACTTATTGCCACTAGAACGCAGTTCATGTAAATACTTTCTTCCGCTAACACACCATATCCGTGCACTATCCTCGCTCACGGATGCCAGGAAATTCCCGCTCATATCCCAACAGATTGAACGGACATCTCCGACATGTCCCTGTATATCAGAGAAAAAGAGACCGCATTGATAGGATCCAGTAATGCTGCAGATAAGAAATTTAAGACAAGCTTGATTTGGAATAAAACATCTTACCTGTAACTGTAGTTGGACGCTGTTAGTCTCCACATCAAATATATTTATAATATTTCCGGTAGAACATGCCAAAAGGTTCCCAAATCGAGGTTGGAATCTAACCTGTCTACTACCTCCCTGCGTTTGTACCAAGAGCAAATCAATACTATCTTTTGTGAATTGAGTAAATCTAACTCTCTAGAAAGTCACTTTAGCACTGTACTTTCCCTTGCTGAATGTGATACCTATCTCCGTCAAATAATATTATGAAACTCAACCATTTATATCCTAAATGGCTTATTTGCATGTGTATTCACATGGTAACGACTTACTGATCTTGAAAACCTTGAAATTCCTTGCAACAACAACAAATATTACTACAACTCAATCCCAAGCTAGTTAGGATCGGCTTTTCCCACATGCTAAATGCAGGAATTCATGAGCAAAACAGATTCAACAATGACTTAGAGTAGGTAGATAAGTAAAATTTGAAATGGAAACAGAAAAACAGGTAAATTTCAAATGAAGGAGGCTTTCCTATGCCAAGCAGAGACACTCTCTTCATCAACATTACAAAAAGAAGTGGAGACACCAACCTTAAAAATGAGTTTGCAATCACCGTCATTGACATCCCACAGTCTAATCTCGTCGTTGCTATCACAAGAACTGAGAAGACCCACCTTTGATGGATGAAAATCTATGGACATCACATGATCAGCATGCCCCACAAGTTTTTGGAAAGGGTTGCTTGGCTGGATTAAGACAAGATGGTGAAATAGGTAAGTTATCATGGTTGTAATAGACAGAAGAAAAATGAAGCAACTTAAGAGATTAAACAGTTATCATTATCAGAAACGTCCTGATAGCCATAAGAAAAATAAAAAGATTATCTAAGTTTGACAGTAGGTGTAAAAACAGCATAAGATGTTTTAGCAACACCGTAGTTCCTCAAATATTGACTCAAATGAAATTTATTATGGAAAATAGAGGTACTACCTTGGCTGCATCCCATATCATCACAGTTCTGTCAAAAGAAGATGTTGCAAACACCCTTGAATTTGGTGTAAAACGGATATCTGTAACGAGATGAGCATGACCTTTTCCAGTGTTAACATCATTATTTTCCAAGTCCCAAATCACAACCTAAACATATCGTTAACGGGAGAAATTGAGGTAAGCGCTCTCCCATTTGACCAACAAGAATCCTGTAGAAGATTAATATGACAAACCTCGTCTCCAGCAGCAGCCAACAACTTCCCTTGTGAATGGAAGTGGCAACATAGGAGCTCGCTGTGTGTTGCGTGAAGACTTCCAATCTCTTTAACAGAGATGCCTGCAAAGTAAAAAGAACTCAATTATCCTTTATGCCGATAACTAGTAGCTACAGAGCTTGATCTCAAATCCTACATGCAAATTTCACAAGAAACGTACAGATGACACCATCAATTAGCCACCATGAGAAACTGCCAGATCACTACTTGCTTTTGAGCAAAGAGGTTCATGATAAAGTACAATTATCATACATCAACTATACACCTTCAGATATGTGCAATGAATCTTCCAGTAGTCCCTAAAGCACTAGTGGCATCTGGAAGAATAAAGCAGGGAATAATATGGAGATAACAGTATCACCCTTAATTCCTGATGGAATTATGTATTGCTAAATACTAGTTATTTACTGCTCCTTGAAAAAAGTAAGAACCCCTGATGGGATAATGTATTGCAAGATAGACATTTTCCCTCTTTTACATCACTGTTAACTGTTAGCTTGTTGTAACCTACCTTTCCATTCAGATTGAGTGAGAGCAGCAAAACTTCTCCTCAATGCAGACTAATGGTTGTCAATTATCTAAATTACTACCTTTCTAATATTGAATTTCTTTTTTTACCCATTAAGCTTGTTGTAACCTACCTTTCCGGTCAGATTCAATGCAAGCAGCAATATTTTTCCTCAATGCAGAGATCGAATTATNCACTCGAGCCAGCTTGAATGAGCATACGATTGAAATCACCAGAACTTGCAGGGGCAGGAAAGTTGAGCTCATCCAATGTTTGAACTGCCACTTCTGGTAAAACATCCTGTTGAGGAGAGAATTTAGTTCTCAAAAACTGTTCCTTTTGAGTCGGTACTATTACACTAGGATGTACAACTTGATGGTTAATGACAGGGGAAACTGGGCCAACTCCCTGGGTTGAATATAAAAGGAATGAATCAACTTAAAGTTGAAACCGAACTGAAACACCATAATGGACTATACATTTCGATTGATGCAAAAGTTCAAGACACTCACAACTAACGGCCATCCTTGATGAGATGCTTGTTGGAGAGATCTGTTGTTCCCTGCAGGTACAGTGGAAGAAAAATCAACAGAATATTTTAAAAAGAAAAAGGATGAGGAGACCTAAAAGTGCATAAAAGTACCAACATATATATTAAAGTAAATAAAGTGGCTAATCTACTAACCTACATTGTAAATTTTATCAACAACAACAACTAAGCCTCAACTATAAGATAGATGGGATCATTGTAAAATCTATCTTTAGAAGTTATTTAAAACGTTGTCTATATTGTCACTGCGAGAACATCTCATGGTGATTCTTGCAAGTGCTAGGCACTCATAAAACTGATTATTTTGCTGAATGTAAGTTTAAAAGTTGTCTGCTTATGTCATACTTCCTTCCATGTTAGTTTTGCCTAGTGTCCATTAATATCAAAACTTCTAATTGACAATGAATCCAATCATCGAAGAAATGAAACTATAACAGGAACAAAGGAACACAGTAATTAGAGCTTGTTCAGCAAGCTAGTGGAAATTAATTGCTACATACAGCGTAAAATCTTCAAAAACCAAAAGATAAAAAGATGCAAATAAGAAGTGCATCATATCAAAATTCTATTTTAAGAACTTCATTGAATGAGGGTGCCACATTCTTTCTTTGGTATCTTAATCCTAAGCTGCCTTATGTTTATCCTTTTGTTACTTCAACCTGCAGCATGCATCTTTGTCCACATGGGAAGGTATGTCCTATATCATCTTAGTTGTGTAGATTCTACTAAAGCAAATGCCTCGCTAGCCATTTGCATAATCACCAAGGAAATGAGAGCCATCCATAGATGGAAATTGGATCGAGCCGAGCTTAGTCGTTCATCCTTGAGCTCACCTCAAGTATTATACTACTCAACTTCAAACTCAAGCTCAAATATCAAACTAGCTTCAAGTTGGAGTTCTCACCTCGAACAAATGTAGACAAGTTCAAGCACGACTCAATGTAGCAACAATCAAATTATCAGCCTCAAACTCGAGACAACCTTGAATTACACACGGTATAATAAATCTATATCTTAGACTCAAAATGGGAGACATTTTTACTATACAACAACAAAATCAAACCCAGTGAAATCCCACAAGTGGGGTCTGGGGAGGGTAGCGTATACGCAGACCTTTACCCTACCTTGTGGAAGCAGAGAGGCTATTTCCGATAGCTCCTCGGCTCAAGGAGACATTTTTAGTATAAAAATTTAAATCTCAGAATTATATTGGGAAATATTTTCACAATAATAACTTCTTTTTTTGATAATATAAATGTAATATTGAAGAAAATCGAAGTAAAATTTATACAAAAACAGCCATGTATTAGTTGATACTTGATACTTATGTCAACAACTCGATTTATACTTATGTCAAAATAATATGTTCCAGAACTATTGATCTCAGGGTTCCACATGTCTGAATTGCAAAATATACAAGCTAAGGTAGAGCGAGTGGAAGTTGAACAACCATGTATTATTTGATAACTAAGTAATAAGTGCCACCTTAGGCCCATGTGAGCCACACTTATTAAACTACAACACCTGTCATTCCCATCCCAAGTGGTGCCGTTAGACCACCTTAGGCCCATGTGAGCCTCATTTATAAATCTAAAACACCTGTCATTCCCATCTCAATTGGTGCCTATGTGGCTTGACCAGGTCGGGAAGAGATTCACATAGAAACAACTGCTGGCCTAAAATCGTTTTCTACGTTAGCTAGCGAGACAGCAAAAAACTTAGTATATGACTTATTCCCTTTAAGCTTGACAATGAAACCTATCCAGAAACAGTATTTTGATGTTTATGGTAGACATATATTAATCCAAACGAAGAGGGATTTACAACTGCTACAAATTAAGATTGAGCCAGTGCTATTTGATGTATGCAATTTATCATTCTAATGGATTTTAGTGCTAAAAGTCTTTTGCAGTTTATCACAATGCGCGTCGAGTTGACTTAGGAGTAAAAGTTAAATGACAGTCCACATACCCATGATCCAACAATATCAATGCCAAAGACAAAAGATTCTATAAACTACATGCATAATATTTTAAGCCAAGATACAAACAAACCCGCGTCAGAATGTTCTGGCCATGGAGGCAAATAAAGATTTGGTTCCATCTGCATAGGTCCTTCCAAGTTTATACCACGTCTGTCGCCCTGGAAAGAATAAAAGCTTGTCAATTATTTACAAATAACTACTAAAAAGCTTGCAAATATGTTTGGGGAAAATGTAAACATACTCTGCCCTCCCACTGTGGAGGAACCGTTGGAATTTGCTGAATTGGATAGCTGAAAGACATGGACATGCATCATAGAAAATTAGAAGATTCTGATTCAATAACTTCAACAAGCAAGTAATGGTTTCACATACAAAACATGTTTGGAATATCAAGATAATGTGAAAAGATTATCTCATAATACTCGCTAAGTAGTAGGTTCTGCTTACTAGACTAAAGAGCACGTCTTAATAGCCATGTTTTACAAGAAACTCTTGATATTTAATATATCAGAAACTCATAGTAGCAATACAAAGACAGAATAATAACGTGATTTTGGCTAATTTTCTTTACGTTGCCTTAGCAGCTTAAGACAATAATATCAGACCAAGCGAAACAAAAACCACATAGCATCAAGTGCTCAACCTTTATCCTCGTTGAAGCGACAAAGGAAGCATTGTAAAATAGATCAAAATGCGACGAGAATGATCAGTTTAGCAATAAATATAGCATGCTATTACCCAGAGTTGCTTGCAGATGGAAGCATGCCATCCATTTTATTAATCTCAAGAAACTTTAAAATTGATGTCACGTCTCTTAAAGGAGTCATATGCTGGGCTTGCTCTTGCATTCTTCCGGGCAGCAGATCTAATGATGGTTGCCCTTGCACCATCCGAATATTTGGTCCAACAGAAAATTGTGTGAAACTGGGCAGAATATACCCTGTCCTTGGCATGATTGAACAGCCATTCTGAAGGACATCTCCCCCTGTTGGCATCATTTCAGGAGTAATAGATGCCATTGGAGGAGATAAATTTGGCAACAAGTTGGGACAAATGGATGACAACAAATCTGAAATATAGGGGTCCATAAGATCAGGACCGTTGGATGCCATCACAGGAGAGGATGCCATCAAATGAGGGGACGGCATCATAGGAGAGGATGCCGTCACAGTAGAGATGTTTTCTCCTGTATGATAAGGAGCATAGGTTGAACTTACAGGACCGATATTAGACACAACGTTCTCCACTGTCTGTGCGACCTGAGAATTCAGAAATTAGTTTGCAATTATTTCATATCAGTTAACCATGAACATAATTTAGAAAAGTTCTATGGGTAACACCTTATCAAAGGATTCGGCCGCGAATAGAGCAACCTCAGGGAACCTAGAGCTGAATGCTTCATAAAATATATTCCACCACTCTTGCAGACATCCTTCAGGAGAATTGATAGCTGAAACAGTATCACAAATATCACATATCATTACTCCAAAGCCCTGTATCACGTTAACACGTAACTTCAACTCCATTATACATGTCTCTCTAAATTACTGAAGGGCGGTTAATACAGTACTTTCAAAAACATCCAACAGTAGATAACTAGAATGTACCACATGAATCAAAGAGAATGACCTCAACTTATTAGCAAACTTTTCAAGAACAACACGATCAACAATCTACCATATGGTCATATGTAAGAATTACAAAACTAAGCATGAGAATTTTACAACCCTTTCAGGTAAATAACAATCATTACTAAAACACATATCTTAATTCATTAGAGGATCAGTTTTTAGCATCTGATAAAAGAATAGAATTCATTAAAAGGAGTTACTTACCAACAGGATTTGGATTAGCATTAATTTCTCTGGCGAATACCTCACCAGTCTGATGGAAACCTCTCTTAACCATGTAATTAAGAATGACAACTTCAAGTCTGAAAAACACAAACAAATAAAAGAAAAGCATGACTAAAACCAGTCAAACAAAGGGGGAAAATCACATACACCCAAAATCAAATGAAAAGTAGACAAGCACAGATTATCAAGAGTATCAATCATTAAAAATGTAAGTATAAAACAATTGAGGCGTAGTAGTTTTTGCTATAAAATAATTGGCGAACACATAAAAACTTACAAGCGTCGAGCCTCCAAACTGGCCATGATCACCAAAAACAAAGCGTTACTTAATCACAGAAAAGGGAAGGGAAAGAAGGTTTGAGCAAGAACAACTGGGAAAGATGAAGAAAGAGTCTCAAGAACCAAAATCCCACTTGGATTACAGACAGAAGAATGCAGAGAGAGAGAGAGAGAGAGAGAGAGAGA